TGGCCAGCCTCCTCCCGTCCCCAACAGCGGGAAGCCGGCTTCAGCTGCATGCTGCTTTTCCTGGCCGGTGCTGACCCGGTCTGCCCAGGCAGGTCCTGCAGCACCATGTCAACCCGGGCATGGCACCGGGCGGGCCCCACGTTAACCCCGGCCTGGCCCCACGGCTTCTCCAGCACCAGGTCAACTCGGTTGTAGCCAAGCGGCTCCTGCAGCACCATGTCAACCCAGGCATGCATGCTATGTCAACCAGCACCATGTCAACCCCTGCAACTTCATTGGTGTTAAAGGTCATGTGACATCACTTCCTGATATGATACCACTTCCTGTGACTTCTCTGAATATGGCTCGCTGGCCCACTGGGTGATAAAAAGTTCGTGGTCTGGCCCCACATTCAAAAAGTTTGGACACCCCTGGAATAAAGAATGTGTCCGGCATCAGACCTACATATCTGCAAATGGTGCTGCAACTAGAAACAAGTGACCTTTTAACTGTGGTACATTTTCTTTCAAAAAATATTCTATTTAGAAAGAGTTTCTTACTGCACTTTGAGGAGCAAGTCCAAAATGACATGTGTGAGATCAGGATTATACTTTATATTAAGATTAGAAAAGTGTCTGGATGGAAAAGAGGCTTTGTGCATGATGTATGCTTCTAAATAGAAGTGCTGAGAATGTTTCTAGCTGTGGTGTTGGTATGATTTCTTGGTTTGTGTATGAAGGAAGGGTGTTGAGTTAATAAAACTCTGTATTCAGCTTGTATTTCTGTGGTTAGATCAATTTCACTTTTTCCTTCTACTGAAGACCTTAAAAATAAATCTTTCTCCAAAGATTTCTGATTTCTAGCATGGACGTCTGAGAAGTTTCTTTATTTTGATTTTTTTATTTATTTGATGTTTCTACAGGGCTTCAGGAATATGTAGAAGCTGTCTCTTTTCAGTATTTCATCAAAACACATTCATTAATTAGTGCAGAAGAGATTAATAAACAACTGGTATTTACACTGGAAGAAAAAGAGGAAACAACAAACACAGTAAGAATTCTTGTCTTTGCTTATGAATGGTTATGGTTATTGCTAACACAGTGAATTGTCTTAAGCGTGGAGTAACAGGATTGTTAGCATCTGATAAAATAAATTCAGTTATTGGCTCAGTGTGTGGTATATACTGACTCTCTTGACTAAAACAATTCCATTGACTCAGCCTTGCTCAATCATGACCTAATCATAGCAGCAGCCAAGACTGAAGAAGGGTAAGGAGTTATCCTCTGTCACAGGTTCTCTTGGCTCAGACATTTTTCACTGTAGTCAGCTGCTATTAAAATACATGTTGCGTGTCCTGTCAAGGTCACCACTATCTCACCTATAGTTAATCTTAAAACTTCCCTTGGAGGACTGCTTTTCAATCCTCCTTATCTCTAACTTAGTAGCTTCCATTTGTTACTTGTCCTGTCCTCCTGCCCATTCCCAAGCAAGAGATACTTTGCCTGTGACCAAAATACAGCGTGGCCGTCTTGCTTATGCAACCTTTGCCTGAACATTCCAGTTTTGGAAACCTTAAGTGGGCAGGAAAGGTAGGCTGAATCTTCTCCTGTATTTAGAATTGTTCCTAACTGCAAGAGAAAAAGGTCAAGCTACACATGGAAAGGTCTGCTATGGATAATAATGGCAGTGATCATGATTTTCAGTTTGTTGCAAACCAGAGTGACAGTTCCAGGTCTTTACCAAAGGTTAAAAAAAGGGGGAAAAGTCTTCAAAGGCAGGTTATGAAGTGATACTAGCATGACATCCAGAGAATGACTGAACAAGTTTATAATGACAAGAAAGTTATTCTGTCAAACAGGTGGTCAGTAGCAGACTATGGAGGCTGAAATCCGACATTGATAGCCAGTTGTATAGCCAGGTTTATAGTATTATTTTTTTTTCCTTCAGTAACATGGGTTACAGTGCACACATTTCTCTGGGGGCTTAATTGGATTTTATCTTTTGGATAAATGAGCAGCTTTATTGGAACTGCAGCTGGCACATTATATCTGAATGTTCATAGAAATTAAACTGTGCGACACTGTAAACTGCATCAATGACAAGAACAGTTTTTACAGGATCCTGAAAATATAACATGAAATCTGCTGAGGTTAGAATTATGCTATTTGCCACCTCAAGTTAGGCAATTGCAGGTGACCTAGAACCAGCTTTTGGAGTTTCAAGATACTCCTGTAATATCATCTGGACAAGAAGACATCCCTTGCACAGTAAAGAAATACATTCTTTGAGAATATTTTACCACTGGCATCTCGCTCTCTCTGCAGCAAGAAAGACCGTTGCCAACTTTCGAGCTCTTGGCTCCCTCCCCCCTCATGACAGTGTTAGCCACCACAAATTCCACTTCTTTCACCCTCAGTCCCCAAAGTGTTCGTAGAATCGTGCGTTTCAGACTCTTGTCTGCTTTTCAGCACGTTTTTAAAAGACACAAAGGAGAAGAAACTGTCAGCCACTATACTCCTTTAGCCTCCATATGAAAACACCTGTTAACTTCTGCACACAGCTTCATTCAAAATTGTCACTGAGATTTCGTAAGGAAAATAATGTTTGAAAGGCTCAAATCACATAAAACGAAATTGTGAAAAAGTTTGCAGAATTTCCTGGAAATGTGCTGTCACTTTCACAGCATTACTGAGTGCCAATTGTACAAAGACATCTGTATATTATTGGAAGAAATGAACATCTTCACTGGTGGACATCCTTTCTCCTGAATGAATCACTGCATGTATAGTATATGATGTCTATGCAGTAAGGAGGAACTTGTTTAAAACTGATTAATGATTGTTTAATAACTGCAGTAAACATATATCCCCACAAAATCCTTTCATTAGAAAACTCAAGCATGCAGCTGCGTAACGTTTCCAGGCAGATGGGATTCAAATACAGTTGTAGCAGTAAACAAGCTTTTCTAGCAAGGAGCTAACATCTGGAAACACAAATTCACTGAGCAATCTGAAACCACGATGTCCTAAAATATTGAAATGTTTCAGAATGGTCAGTCCTAAACTACTATCTCTGATCACAATAATTGTTTTTCAAGTTTGCGTTGTCAGTATGAGAGCTTGGGAATCCTACGTAAAGGAGCCCAATGTCCAGTTGGCTGCAGTAGATGGCTCCTAGAAGAGCATTTCATTTAGAAGATGTTGTATTGTAAATCACATTTAATATTTCTCATGTGCTCTGTTGCTAAAGATGCTTACATAGAGACCATCTTTGAATGAATCCTCTCTTTTGGAAGAGAACCCCTCCTGTGATATATATATTTACACAACAAACTGATGCCATAAACAGAGGATGGAGAATAAGTAGCATGAGGGGGTGAACACTTAAAAGCAAAAATGTGTTTATTATATGCCATAGATGTCTTGAAAAGAAAGGATATTCATAGATTCATAGATGCTAGGGTCGGAAGGGACCTCAATAGATCATCGAGTCCGACCCCCTGCATAAGCAGGAAAGAGT